TCATGTGATACTTTTCAGGCTACTTCACTTTTTTTATTTCCAAGGACTGAGTCTATTGCTGCTATACAAATAACAGTTCCTAGAAAAGCACGCAATAGCAGCATAATTTATTATATGCCATGCTGTAACTAGATCATTTTAGGTATTTTTATGCATTAAGTATTGAAAACACCTTTTAAATCTGCAAAGATAAATAAGAATATGATCAGTAAAAATATTACTTAGCTCATTTATTAAAAGTTCACAAATTATCCAACACAGTCTTGTGAAATTTCTTCCAGTTTACAGTCAAGATATTAACCAAACGGATTAATTTTAACAAAGGAGCCTAGAAGTTAAATTCAGTGGTTTTAATTAGTACTGGGCAGACTACCTGGAAAAAAACCCTAATATGTGAAATCGTCACAGGCATACGATATCGAAGCCAAATCCAACTCGTATTATATTTACTTTACAAGATATTTTATTTTAATAAAATCAGACACACGGTTATTTTTTATTTGTATCTATTTGATATTGAAATGAAGGCATTTTTCTCCCCAGTGGTCAGTATAAACTAGAAAATCCAGACTTGATGCCAAACACGCGTATTTCCACTTATCTCTTCTGTTTTCCAGAGTTCAAGACAACCATTTAACAACTGCTTGGAATCTAGAAATACAAGTAATCTATTAAGTCTGAAATCCCACTTTAATGCACAACTCACAGCTGCCAAATCTCAAACTACTTTACAGTAGTGGGGGTTTTTAAAATACATCTTTATACAAAATTAAACCCTTACAGTGAATTCATTGATGCATGGGTGAAAGTTGATAAAAAAATGCAGGAATTGTAACTTTTAAAATGAGCCCAGATGCTAGATATCGCTTATCAAGTTTCAGAATTTATAGAATAGGAACAACAACTGAATTCTCCAAGATTAAAACTGCGTACAAAATTTAACCGCCTACAATTCCATAAGAAAACTGTTACTATTATGTGCTTATTTTTAAGCATATGGGCATGTCCAGCCATGTAAAAACATTTAGATTTCTTTATGTAGGACTCAAAAATTCATGGTATATGTATGCGAGCCACCTATATGAGTTATGTTCAAGAGTGTTTTGAGTCTGGAACAAGCAGAGATTTTTATAAAAGTATGTTTCATATATTCAGAACTCCATTTATGGGTCAGCATTACAGCTGGTGAACATATCTGCTTTTGTTAAAGGGTAACAAAGCAAACCCCTCCGCCCTTAAGAACCTTCAGAGGGCAGGATACAAGACTGAAAACATGAAATATAAGAAAAATACTGCAGTAAGAAAATAATAGCGAGAAATAATGTTATGCTCTTACTTAAATCGAATATGTACTACTTATAGGTAACATTTTAGAAATGGTTCGAACTAAACCAAATTGCATTTAGCAGGTTGGAAGGCAGGCCATTGGAAACTGCATAAGTACTGAATTGTACACTTAGCACAGGAAAGCTCATTTTTTATGTTTGCAACCCAACAAGGAAGTTTTTGAGGAACAGACTAAAAAGTGAGAGAGCTTTTATTACTGCTATTGTTACTTATTCTTCAATTGTTTGATGTTTTCCTTAGTGCCAGCAATAACCAGCCTGTCTCCCGTCCTGACATTTCCACCTTGACAGGCTGGATAGAAAACTAATTTGACTGGAATTTTACCAGCACAAGTGATACCTGGAACTCAGTGCAATCTGTACCAAGGTATTTAATACCTAAAATAGGGGGTGATTCTAAATCTGTTTGGTTCTTGTTGGTAATTATCATCCTTGAGTGCGATAAAAACTTCTCTTTTCTATGGTTATGGTTTAGACTTGGTCCCCCACAAAAATCGGTAACTATTTCCCATAATCACGAAACACATAAAACCCACGTCAACATTTACTACATAGTTTTATTATGTTGGTTTTGAGCTGGATCATGAGTATTAACAATATGACCTTACAAAACACTGTCAGGATACTCACAGTGCTGTACAGAAACAAGAGCATAAATCAGATAAAATCATAACACTAACTGGATTAAGCACTAACTACAGGAAATCATAATCTGGTGGGGCATTTGCTGGTTGATCAGCAAAGATATTTGAGAAATCTGGAAAAGGGAGGCAAAACTGTGGTCATTTTCATATCCCTTCCCAGTAACCTCTTCAACACCTATCAAAAGAGGAATTTGATTGGTTTTTGTGTTCTGCTTTTCCTGTGATGCCAAAAACAGGTGCTCACTTAGGACAGATATATTAGGCTGCAGATGAATACTTTGAACGTCAGTGGAGGAGAGTATTCTACATAACATCCGCACAAGTATTTCTACAATTGTGAACTAAGGGAGAGGCTGCACTACCCTCTGGGTGAAAAGACAAAATTACATTTCTTATCTGTATTTTTATTTCTCTACTGCAGAAATTCAGTGTTCTATACAGAAGTCAAAACAGCAGAATGAACACCAAATATTTGATGGGGAAGTTCTAATATCTCACATTCCCAATTAAGAAGATAGAAAATTTCAAAATTGTAAAAAATAGATAAGTAATTTTTTAAATTTATTAGAGCTGAGACCTTTAGGTAAATGTATTGGGTGGGAATCAAATGGCAGACTTGTAGATGGCTAACCCAGAGGCTAGTACTTGTCTAACCATGTAGCACCCATCTATTTGAATAAGCCACAAATCTGAAAGATTCCAAAACTACTAATTAAATTGCTGCAATACAGAATCATTGGACTCGGATGGATCAAAATTAATTGGGTCAAAATATATAATCTAGAACTTCTCAAGCAAATGATTAGACATTTTCTAAGGTTTTGAAAATTTTAGAAAGCACAGTTTTCACCAGGTTCTGTGCACATGGTTATATCATCTCCTTAATTCATGAAGAGACTGGGAACAAAAAGATTTTCCCATACTTGTCAAGGTACACTTCAAGAACAAACAACTTTAGTTACTGTGCAAGGCTTTCTCAGATAGAAATATTGTTACTCACGTTAACTTTCCAACACAAACAAAATGTCAGATGAAATAAGATATACTGTCAGAAAAGAAAAATTAGCCATATGTGGTGGTTTAAAATTAGGTTCACTGATAGCTGCAGCAACACATTCCATCACCTGCGAGCCACAGGTGGTCTTATAAAGAGAGTTACATTGTAAGGTGATAATGGCTCCCATCATTCACTGACATAGTTAGAAACCAGGCGTTTACTCAGCAGTTGTCATTGAAGTCAAAAGTAAGGAGCAACTAAAGGTTCTTTTGTGTAGGGACAGCTGAAACAAGGCCCTAAGTGGGAGCAGCATGCATATGCCCATGCAGATCTCCAGTTACAGGTTACAAAGCAATGTATATCAGGGTCTATGAGACATGGAAATGTCTCACTGAACAATGACGCTCAAAGCATCAGTCTCCATGAAACAGTCTTTCATAAGGAGCTCTAAAGTTCTATGGAGAGGAAAACAAGTAATAATTTAGTAATGACTCTACTGAGGTCAAAGAATACCTAAATGAATTCTCATTAACAAGCCAAGTAGAAAGTTGCACAGACTGTTAACTAGAAAATACCAAAAAGCTGTCATTATCAGAGTCAGTGTAAACGAAAATATTTTTGTATTTGATAATAGTCACAATCAAAAGGCCGAGATGGTCAACATATGGCTAAATATAACTGGACATATTTTTCTATCTGTAGACTGACAGACAAAAGGAAAATCCCCGGAGGATGAACTCAAGCTTCAAGACAGCTTAAGTATAGAGTTTGATGTGTGCAAAAGACATAGGAGGTCAAGTAATCCCCTTATGGTTAGAGAATATATAGTAAAAATTCTATTTGCTTGTAAAGTCTCTTTATTTCACTGGTCTTTCAGATAAAGTATTATGATTAAGTGACACATGGTCTTTAGTGGGATGCACTGGTTTCTGGAATGGTATTTACTACTAGAAGCCTGATAGAAGAAAAAAGATTGAAATAAAGAAAAAGGTCTGAAACAAAAACCAAACAAAAAGGGCTTAATTGATAAGTCACTCATTTTGGAGTGGAACATTCCTTCCACTCTTATCCTAAGACTGTTTTGCCCACTGAACTTATTTCAGGTCTGCAAAACCAGCCTCTCTGTTGAATGGATAGCTACTGCCAACTTTCTTCTATTTGGACTCTTCAACAGGAAGAGGGAAAACACTTTCTTTTTCAACTCCCTTATGCTACCTGCAGGGTTTCCGTGGGGGTTCTAATAATACTTAATTGGAAAGAACACACAAAAGTACATTCTGTCTCTGAAGAAGCCTCTGATGCTGGGTCTCCATACTTAGTTACTCATTGCCACCTGAAGCAAGATTCTTACTAAATTAATACAACTCTCAGAAGCAAGGAGAAGCTCCAGGTAAGTTTAAGTTGACATTGTTTGTTTGGTTTTTTAAGCAGAAACAACCACAACAAATGCAGTTTCTCTGAAAAGCAAACAAGTGTTTTCAGCTCAACACAGGAACAACACAAACACAACATGAAACAGTTCCATGATGCTATTTTCAACTTCATTTAACAGAAATAAATCAGACTGAAAAATATGGAAATTCCTACAGACAAATCAAACTACCAGAAATTGTATCTCTTCAGTCTGTGAATATACAAGTAGAATTAGGTTTTAAGACATGAACACCAGCATCGGTTCAAGATGATACAGGTGATATTTTCCACTGTCAATCAACATTAAATCAATTCCCAGTTTTGCTTTCAGAGAAGCACACTTGGATTTTGGCTGCTTGCAGTATTTCAGATGAGCCATAAAACAGAATTCCTGAACACTTATGCTTACAGATCACATTGCACTTCACAGCTGTTGTGTTTTACCCCAGCAGAGGGTGCATTTAAGCAAGTGGAAAAAAGCAATTTTCTTTTAAACATAGCTTAAAGTGCTTAGGGGTCTTTTTGAATGAAATGTAATGCATACATATATTATATTTTAAATATATTAAATAATTCATAACAAGTAATTATTAGGCCTACCTGCAATGTTTATCTCATTTTCTTCTAGTTCCTCATGTGCCACATTGAACAACAGCATAATGCTGCAACTAGCTAGATGGAGCAGTGAAGTCTGAGGAGTAGATCTAAATTTCACAACATTGTGATAAATACGAGGTCAGTAAATCTGTATGAAGGAATTGCTACTATAATTACTTTTTAAAAAGGAAAATTTTGATTAATCTTCTACATTAGAAGAATGCTGAGATTGCAAAAGCAAAGCATTTAAAAAACAGAACATGCCTGAAGTAAAGCTCTTCATATGGCATTATTTCAACCTCCTCTGCATGACCTTTCCTCCATTCTTTGTTTTCGTGTGCCACATTATTTGTTTCCCCAGGACCTACGTTTCATCATTGCATTGGATAGACTACTTTTGAAAATGAACTGGGTTTTTTAAAGACTTTTATTTAGTATTACTTAGTGCAGAGACTGTTGTTGCTGAAATTGTAATGCATATGTCCAAAATATGCACGGTTTTGGAACTGGAGGAACTTTTTAGGGAAGCAGAATGCCATTTCAAAAATGGATTTCTGCCACAAATAACTTTTCACCAAGCTCCATAAAATGAAAAAATACGAACAAATTACCATTCAATACAAATTCTTCCTTTTCAAGATTGTCGTACACATCTACCATTATGGTAGTTAGACGTAAATAAACGCAAAACTTTCTTAAAAGTTCATGCATATTCTCCTTTGCATGTATGTTCTCCAGTGAAGTGTCACGAAGTAACCTATTTTCATAAATATTTTAGTCCTGTGGCCAATGAAACTCAAAATTCAGAAAAGAAATAGTCCACAATTATCTTCCTACTAATTTTTCTTTCTCCTAAGTGAAAAAAACCCTCACGTTTTCATGATTTAATTTTAGAATAAAAAAAGACAGCTGTCATTCTTTATAAAACACAAACTAAGCTGTATTTGAAGGAGCAGGGATTCCAACCAAATTGCACAGGATTAATTAAATGAAGCATTTTCAAAGAAAACACTTAAATAACATGTGGCTAGCAGTTCTACTTGGATTGGACAATGGCAATTGGACATGGAATGAATAAAGAAATACATTAGTATGGGCGGAAGTAAAATAAGAAAAAACCCAGATAGTTCTGTAAGCAGTAGAACTTCTGAACAACATGATTGGGCATGTTATTCCTGCTTCTTCCTCAGCAGATGCACTATTTTGCATTTTCCTGTTATATAGTCCATCTGTTTTCATGGATATAAGCATCTTTGAGGCCTCTACTTCTCAATCAAATTTGTTTGAAGTTGGTCAACAGGTTCAAGATTTATTGGGGGGGACTGACAGATAGTATGATTGCATCAACTTACAGAAGTTCTGCTTCCTTACAAAAGTATGATAAAAATAGAAAATCTAGGCTATGTTAGCCTAGGAAATAGACAATTCCACAGCAGGGCACTTTCTGCAGGAAAGGCCAAGCCAGGAAGAGCACAGGAATACAGTGTTCAGGTCTAGCAGTAAGAATTCTCAAACTGCCATAACACAAAAAAAGGAGAGCAGATAAAAATTCGGCCAGTACTACACCAATTATTAAAAATAAGATTAATCAATTAGAATATTTAAACTAGCATGCTAAAAGAGAAAAGAAATGTAATATTTTAATACATCATAATTACCTGTTGTTAGCAACTTTTGATTAATTCTGTTAGAAAATCTCAGATAGGTCTTAACATAAAGAAGAGCTTGCTTCTTTGAATTCAAACTATAGCATGGTATTGGTTAGGTAACAGAACATGACAGACCAAATTAATTTAACTGCAATACTTCAGATACAGTTTTATCAAGGATTAATATAACACAATACTTCCAATTGTTATGACCATGTTGTCATCAGTTTAGGTGCAGTAACTCCCCTTTTAGTAGTTCAGTCATGCTTTGAATACTCCAGTGCACTTATCTCACCTCTTATTGATTCACCAGAAGAAAAGCTGCTTGTAAAGAATGGCATGGTCTTGTTACAGGACAACTCAATATCTTCATTTTGTTTCATTCTTTGTATTGTTTAGTATGAAATAAAGATTAGGTCACAGAAGAAACTGCCATGGAGGAGCTGCCCCTCTGAAATATCTTATATAGCATTACTGTCAGATGTACCCTAAGTATCAGGCTTATAAGGGTGACCAGCACTCATTCATGCATTTGGTTAATCTTGTTGCACATACAGTTGGTCTCTTGACTTAATATAATGCATTCAACACACTCACAAGTATGGAATTGTTTTTTCCCTTTAAGTCAGTGCCTCTGGTAAATAAGTAGCAGAAGCTATGTCTCCATTTGGTGCACTTATTGGTAAGAAGACCGCTGAGGAACTCATTCATTGACACTGGACTATTGTAATGTATAAGCTAGTTACGTCACCTAACTTTCTCTCTTACTCTTCTGCACTAGACATGAAATTCATATCCACCTTATTTTCTTAATGAATGGGTTTCTCCTAATATAAAAGTTACAGATACAACAATCTGCACAATCCTCAGTGGCATCACAAAAGAGATGTACAGTTTTGCTAATTTAAGTAACTTTTTAAGTCTAAAGCAACTGAACTTAAATATGTAGTAGAATTAAATTGTATGAGAAGCAGCACAACATCATTCTAAAAGATAGGAAATACATTAGTAACATGAGGAATGGTGAAACCGTGAATTAAATTTCACAGTTGCTACACATGTTCAAGTAAGTAAACACAGTTTTCACAAAAGATTTTTCAACTGGAAATCAGAAAAAATAAGGTGGAAAAAAAAGAAACAGCTAAAGAAATCTCTGAACACTGAATTTCAACAGTTTAATTTCTTTTTGTTTAAATGCTCATTTACAGATAAAATTTGGAATGAGATCACATTCATCAAACTGTCCACTTAATGTAACAATATTGCATCTCACTGACAAATCAGACATCAATTAGAAGCTGTAAAATTTAATTAAACATATCCTAATCACAGCTACCACTGTAATGTGACCTGCACCTGCATTTCACGTATCACTACATGACAGCACCGCACTTCCTTCCATTTTTCCTGCTACCATCTTGAGGACTTAAAATGAAGGTTTTCAGAGACAGAATCAAATGGAAATAAGAGGGGAGGGGAGAAAGAAGTTGCTGAAACAGAAAGACAGAGATAAATACACCATATCTGCAATACAGGCATACAGGAGTTCAAGACATAGGTATATATGTTCAAAAATAAAACAAGTAAAACACAAATGCTGGACTATGTGACTATATTTTCACCTTCATGTCCTAGCAACTACACAAAGAAGGAAAGCTTTGCTTTCATGCTTTATGACCTCCTAAGAAGCTTCTCGATGGCATTACAGCTGCCTTGTATTTACTGTAACTGTATTATATTATTATAGATGTTATTAATATGAATTAATATGAATAATATGTACTAAACCCACAGAAGAATATTAATAATTTGAGGCATCATTGCCTGCTGCTCTAGAACTCTTATACTTTAATTAGTATATCTATTTTTATATATATTTTCAATAAAATGGAATAAAAGTAGTCTAATCATCAACATCACTAAAAATGTCACAGGACACAAAGTTCAGCATAGATTTTACTCAAGGTCTTCACAGAACTTTAGAATATGGCTTCCTGAATTAATTCACAAATGACAGAAGACAAGTATTACACACTTATTCACCAGACTTCTTCCAGCCTTCTGTCTTTCTTCCTTCCATTGTGACACCATTAACAAGTTCCATTCTGTCCTTTGTGGTTCCTGAACCTCTCTTTTGCTGTGTCCCTGTCCTGAACAACATCTTTTCTATTAGAGAGCTGAGTTATTCACCTTTCTCTGCTACACACACATATGATTCCTTTTATACTTCAGAATTATTCATTCCCACTTACATGTTCCCCTCTCTGCTACTTTTTCCCCTCTTCCTTGGGATCAGAACCAACATCAAAAGATCAAGATGGTTGAGAGACCACATCTAATTACTCGGCATCACTGTCTAGCTACATGAAATACTTTTTTTAACTTTTATTTGTCAATAATTATGACTTAGGCCAGATACCACCACTGGAGTTGTCATTCTATATGTTAATAGCTTCTTACAACACTATTTTACCTACTTCTTAATCAAAAACAACATAACACATTATCACATCAAATCAAATACTGAATACTCATTTCATCCTAGAAAGCTGTCATTAATCTGGTTGATTAACAGTAGAAAAAATATGGTAAGATTTGAATGGCAATAAAATGTAAATATTTTCCCATCCCTGAAAGTGTTCAAGGCCAGGTTGGATGGGGCTTTGAGCATCCTGGTCTAGTGGAAGGTGTCCCTGCCCATGGCAGGGGTGTTGGAACTGAATGATCTGTAAGGTCTCTTCTGTCACAAACAGTTCTATGATTCTCTGATTCTGTATCAATTTAAAAAAAATCAACCTCAGTAGAATAACGCATAAAATATCAAACATCAGGCTAGCTGCATCTGTTCTGACTAGCCAGTCCAAGCGCTATGAGCCATCCAGACATAGCTCTGCTGAACTCAGCGCAGGCTGCAAAACCTGCCTGAGAACCAGAATAAATATGCAATTACTTAACTCTCTCTGTACCTCCTGTCCCACAGATTTAGACTCAGCAGGAATCCCAGATGACTATAAAGGAGAAAGTGACTGCCATTGAATGACACCCCTGAGTGCTCTTGGAATAAATCCAATATTGAGTGTTAAGCACAGAAGAAAAGCAGGAAACAATGTTGCTTTTATAGTGAAACGAGATAATTTAAAGATAAATAGAGAAACTAGACCCTAACATAACTATCATATACAAAAATCCAATAAGAAGTTAATAAATTTTGGAAAAGCAATTTTAGTATTTGACATTATTATTTTACTTTTTATATATATATTCACATAGTTACCCAACTCTTATTAAAAAATGTTTCATTTACAGGAAGGTGTCTCCAAGATCTGACTATTTACAATATCTTCTCCATTTTATGTGTTTCCAAATAAAAATAATTGACACTTTGGGACAGAAATACATGCTCCAAAATATTAAATGAACTTTTATATCAAATGGTTTCAACAGATTGACACTCAAAA